GCTCTGATTGGTCGGGACGTTGCGAGGCTCNCTCCCATACGCTCACCGGCATTCCCATGAACCAGTTTGGCTGCCAGCCGGTCCGAGCTAGTGTTTCAGGAAATCTCTGGATGAATGCTCTCCCTTGAAGCTGCTGTGCCTCCCTGAGCTATTTATATGTAGTATTGAAGAGACGGGTGCATTGGTTAGCTTTGTAAAAACCCCGGGGGCCGTCTCACTCTGAGGTCCTGTGGAGATTTCTGCTGACACTTTTTGTTCTCTTTGAAGAATTGAGGAGATACATGGAGCCATGCTTTGGGGGATGTGTTTAACTGAACTGAAACGGATTTATCTGGTTTTGTTTTCACTGGATTACTGAGATTTCTGTTTTCAAACTTCATTTTTTTGCTCATTTGACGTGCTGACTGGGACTTCTTGTTGAGCAGCGAGGTGACACATTATGGTTGACATCACCTTTGTAATCGCCTAGCAACAAGAGCCCTACTTAAAGGTAAGACAGCGTGGAGGTCTAACCAATCACAGGCTGTTTGTGGTTTTATATCATAATGGAAACAAAGTCACAGCGTGTGAAATGCCAGGGTCCCATTGTTGAGGGCTGGGAATTGTTAAACCTAATTTAAGCTGAATTGCTTTATATAATCACACCGAGTTTACAAAACACCTTCTGTGTTGAAATAGTGACCGTGAGATCGCTTTTTGATTGTACGAACGTTTCATATCCTTCCTGTAGCGTGAACACAGGAGAGGAAGGTTAAGCAACAGCTGAGTGTCTTAAGATCAACTTTCCTTTTTTCTTGCCGCAGTCACACTTACAGTTTCCTTAACATCCCTTTCCTCTTTGCATACCAAAGGACAGCAGAAGTCAAATGTATGTATAACAACAACAACCTAAAATGACAAGGCAGAATGGCAAAAACACAGATTGACTTAAATGAATTTATTTCTCTTTGCACTCACAAAGCATTCTTTCATTAAAGCTATGAATAGGCCATGTGATTATTTTGTATTGGCATAAAACGTTACAATAATGAGTTAGGGCTGTAACTACAGATGACCCATTCCACATTTTTTTATATAAATAGTATTTATAAGTATCTGCCCTACAGTGGAGCACATCAACACATCCCTTAATATAACATATTTTTTGTCATTTAATAATTTAATCGACAACATGTCAGACCATTTTGAAAAATAAGTGTTTTTGTGGTCCTTCTGATACTTAAACATATTCAGTTTTATGTCATGTGAGACAAAGAATTCACATTTTTGTGAATGGAGCCAACTCAATTTGAACTTTTTTGCTTAGGCTTTGAAAGCGGACTAGTGAGTAGCTGAGTTTCTGTGTTTGGCATGATGCCGCTTAATATCCCCAGTAACCTTTGTCGTCTAATTTAGCCAATTGTTAGCAACTGCCTGCTTTTAAGAGATTTAAAAGTTTGAAATGTACAATTGGAGGCGATACTGTCAGGGTTATATAGTGGAACGAAATGTGAGAATCTCAAAATAAAGATCAATTCTGGCATCTAACACAAAAAACCTATTACAATTATTAATTGACGGAAATGCTAACCCTTTTCCTGGTTTTAGGACTCGTTCCTCTAGCACTCTATTACTCCTTACTTAAAGGTCCCATGTCATGGCCATTTCTACTGATTGTAATTCCACTGTTGAGGTATACTAAAATAGATTTATATTGTGCAATTTTCCAAAATCTCATTGGTTTCTCATACAGCATCTCTGTATCGTATGTGTATTCACTCTGTCCTAAACGGCTTGTTGGAGCTCCTGCCCCCCCCTCCCATNGGGGGGGGGTGGAGTCAAGGCAAATACAGTAGTGTGGTGCAAAGAATGTAAAAACAAGGAAGACTGGAAGTTAATGATTGTTAGTCTTCGGTACAACCTGGTTATTAAGATTGTAGCTTCTTCAGTTATTGAAAGAAAGCTGTGTTGTTGCACTGAAGCTCGCTCTAGCAATAGCAGTGACAGTATAAGTGGAGGCAGGTTAGGGTTACCCCATGCTTTCACCTTTCACATAATCCACTGCCCAGAGGTCCAGTTTCAGAGCAGAAGAATGAGAAGCTAATCACCAGGAAGAGACTGGGGACACTAGATGAAAGCCAATCCCCATAAAGTGCATAAAAACAACCCCTACTACCTCTGTAAGTACATTGATAGGATACAAAATTAAAAAAATCTGAATTATTAAGGAGCTATTCCAAAAGAATAACCTGCAAGTGACAAGAAATGTCAATACTTGGAAACAGTGTCACTATAGATGGTTTTATGTGCCTGTCTTTGAGGTTTATAGCAACTTTCCAACTGAATGTTGAGCTTTTACATGAAGAGAAGAATGATCATGTTTTAAGCTTCTGAGCATTAGATATTCACTTTAACAGAACTGTAACTTTCTTGTGCAACAGTACAACAAACCGAGATCTGCAACAGAGCATGTCTTACTACAACCTTATCAGTGCAGAACTGAAAGGAAGAGCTGTAACCAGACAAAAAAGGGAGATGGCAGATTATAGTAAAATATGTGGTATGGGAAACATCTGTTCTCTGTAAGCAACAAGTCTCATTCAGTATCACCACAACCTACCACACGTATGTGGGATTTTGTCTTTATCGTTGTGTCTTTAAACTGACCCAAATGAATGCAGTTAATCTAAAATATCCAATTAAAAAAGACAGGAAATAAAGTTTTATTAGAACCTAAGATCTTTATCTCATGCATAAACACATTTGCTATGCTTCTTTTGTGTTCATAGAGCACAAGGATTTCCCACAAAATCCAACCAGCAAATTCGCAAATGTGTTCGCTTTTGGAGAGCCAAACTCAGCACACAGATCTGACACAACCCACTCAGCATGTGCGCTTGTTTCGTCAGTTGCAAGTCAAAACTACAGAGATGGAATCAGCATATTTAGTAAGACGAGGAAGAGAAAACAGGATGCAGCAGATCGGATGTCGATTGGTCACAAGATAATAGCCGCTTTCACACCAAGTACTCTGCCGTACTTAGTTCCCAGCACTTAGTACAACCCATGGAACTAAAGAGCAGATCGCGTTCACACAGGAAAATAAAGTTCCCACTACGCAAATGAAGCCGCTGACGTCCCTTCTACGGGTTTACTGTCAGGCCGCAAACAACTTCACGGCTTATACTGCCGCCCGAAGTCCCCGGCCGGAAGTCCCCGGAGTTAGAGACTGGCTTCAGTAGAAGCTGCTTGGACTCCCAGCAGCTTCTACTGAAGCCTTCCGAGTAAATCGCCAGAATACAGACACCTCCTCATCTCCACCGCTCCCATGTTTTTTTTGTGTTGCCATAAGTTATTCTCTCTCCGTTGGTGCACGGGGCTAATCCTAATGCTAATAATGCTAATGCCGGCAAATACAATGGTGGCTTCAAAAAACTTTTCCCAGTTTTACGGGGCGTGTTTTGCAATTCGCCCAGCCAATCAGAAATTGGAACTTTTTTCTCCCCACCTCTCTAGCAGGCACTAAAAAGGGGGTAAAAGTTCTCATGAACTAAGTTCTCTTTTTGGTGTGAACGCAAAATTCCAGGAATTACCGGAACTGAACGGGAAAAGTACGGGGGAAAGTAAAGCGCCTATAGATCACGGTCAGAGTGCAGCTGAGCTTCTGAATGAATGAGTGTTGCACAGGAATGACAGGTATGACTACAATCGTTTAGCATTGGCAGCCACACAGGCAGTAGCAGATCTCTTACTTAGTGAGTGGAGAACCGGTTCGGAAATAGTTTAATACCTTGGAATTGTATGCCTCCAAGGTTAGGAATTACAACTCATACAGTTGCACTTTGTATCTACACTGCTGGAAACTTGCAAACACCTGTCAAACATGTTCACCTTTTCTATATCTAGCCAGGAGATGACGAATTTATGAACACAAAAAGCAAATAGGGGCCTGCCACGTGTCTGTGTTATTACTCACACACACCTTTACTACCCGACAGGAAAGAGACCAATCCACGTAAGCAACAAGTCAAACGGAAGATAGGAATAACGAGCAAGGCCAAAGCACAGTTAGAGTTATGTAGTTCTGCACAAAACTACATCAAGACAAGACAGACAGAAAACGACTTAAAATAATGAGAACAACTGCAGTCCTTAGAAAGCCTTACAGATGGTTATAAAGGAATTCATGAATTTATGTTTCTCTGGTAAAGTAATATGCAAAAGGATTTGTATATCCAATTAAAAAAAAGTTAGTGAGGGCCTTAAGAAATTGTGAAATAATCTATTTAATAATCAGGTTTTTCTTAATGGGAAAACAAATTCTTTCATTTATCATTTGTAATTCGTCGCTCCTCCATTTGATTTTTGTATTAATTTTGGGATGGACACTAAATCTTAGAAGTTATTGAGAACAAAACCATAAAAAATGTGCTCATGAAGACTATGAGATTTACTTGAAATGTCTAAATAAGTTAGTGTGTCACCTTGAGTTGTCTGATTTGATTACATTTTTCAGGGATCAACTTTTATCATGGGACTTAAGGGTCTTACTTAGCTCACCTGAATCAACTACATATCCTAAATAAAGACCAAACTCTGATCATTTTGTTAGATTACAAAGAAGTTGCTTCGGCTGTCTATAACTATTTGCATATCAATGAACAGTTTTATTACCATTTGTACGGCGGAAGGTGAAGCAAGACGAGATGTGGAGCAGCTGATGGGTGTGGATCATGGAGATGAGGG